TTACGTGGGATTAGGATGAGGAAATCTTAACCCTGTACTTATAGAATGGAAATTCTTTGGAAGTGTTCTGTTTTGGGTACAAAAATTACCGAGAGTAACTAAGAAATATATTTTTCTAAGCCAAGGGAACTGGTGCTGTACTGATAAGAGCTATCACTGGGAATGGCCCTTGGTGTACAGGAGGTTTATTGTGTGTGCATTTCATATTCCTGTAACTTTGGTTGGCTGAAGTTTTTCTCTTTTGTTAAAAGTGCCAGATTTTTGTTGTTTCATTTGGTTTTATGCGTCACAGTGTCACTGCAAAAATACTGCTTCTCCTCTTTGCTGAATAAAAGGATAAAATAAGGCCTCTGACGGGCTGGATACCAGGGACTTGCTTCAGCCTCAGTTACACATTTAGGAGGTGCTAATTGGGAGGTGGCCATGGAAATGACTCTTTAAGCCCAAGAGCCTCCTTAGCCCTCTCTCTCTCCTCCCTCACTTTGCTTGCAGTGAGTTTATGGAGACACGTGCGCTGAGGGACCTTCCATACCTGCACTCCATACAGTGGTAAGGCGCAGCAGTTGGTGCCACCCTGGCTTGGGATGCCCACCTGGGTACCCCTGGCTGAACGATCTGCTCCAGCACTGCCTAGCAGGCTCTGGGACCTGGGTTCAGTCCTCAACACCATGAGCAAATCAAACCAAACCAAACAGCAAAACCTCCCATTTACAGAGCAAGAGAGAAGTTAGCTGAGTTCTTCCCCATTGCAAGGTTCCTGCCTTTCTCCCTCACCATGCTGTGTGCTGATGGCTGCTGTGGTCTGCAGAGGCAGAGTTTGTGGGGACAGAGGAGGAGAGGGCCTCACAATGCCGCCCAAATCCCAGTCCCCTGCAGCTCCCAGTATTCTCGGAGCAGGGCCTGGTCTTGCTCACTGCACTGTGACCCTCGTGTGTGCAGTTACAGTGCTCTCTCTGCCTTGGAGCCCCAGTGTCCCTGCACCTCTGGCCAGGTCTCTGCTTGCACTTCTGCTGGTCATGCTGGCTGGCCATGTCTCCCCATCTCTGCTCTGGACACCTGTTGGGGTTGCCCTTGCCCACCTCATGGAGTGCATTGGGCCTGTGACACTTTCGGGTCATTTTGTGAGCAGCAGTGACTGTGTCTCCCCCCTGTCTTAGAGCTCAGGCATGGAGAGAAGGCACATTTGAGGTGGGGCAGCTTGTCGTGTGGGTCTCTGTGTGGCTGTGGTGAGCCACCTCCTGGCTGGTAAGGTGCCCACTGAGCAGAGTGCCCCCCTCTCCAGTTTGCTGTGATTCGAATGCACTTGTGCTGCGGCCTTGCCGCTTGGAACACAGGCTTGTGTTCTCCCGAGCCCCAGCAAGGTGCCAGACCGTAGGTACAGGAGTGTTCAGGAAAGGCTTGAATAAGCTCACAGCAGCTGGGAGAAGCAAAAAGGACCTTGGGCTTATGCTGCTTAGAAGGACCAGAGATGGTCTGGTCCCTCACATAAAAGCTATGACTGGGGACAGTATTCAGAAAGTCAGAGTCTGCCCTCTTTTTATTTTGGTACTTCATGGCTGTCATACTGTTTCAGGTGTATTTGAGGGAAGAAAAGAGTCAGCTGGAGGTTTTAAAGATAGTCTAAGACACCTTTCTGTGCAAATGATCTTAACCGAAGACCTCCTAATACTCCTTTAAGTAGCTAGTGGGATTTTTATTATGTAGTGCCACCGAAGGTAACTGTTGCCACCTGGTGGCAATGTTGCTTAATTGCAGATTCTTCTAAAGTCTAGGGTTTACAGATGAAATGCCTAAAAAATCACCTGAAATGATCATTTATTATTTAAGGTACCATATGACCACCTATGTGTTCTGAAATGACAGGCACACATCAGATTCTTATTTGGAAATAGTGGGCTTTGTATATGTCAGCAGCTTAGAAGGGAATGGGTTCGGAGTGCTAGGTAGATATTGGGGTGTTGTGTTGCCTTGTGGTCACTGGGCAGACTTCAGAACCAGCCTGCCAAGTCTCTCACTTGTGTGGCTTGATCATGGGGCCAGCTTCTCCTTAGCCCATGGGTGATTGTAGCGTGGAAAACATTGGATTTCTTTAGTGAGGCAGATCCAGTGCTCAGGATGTGTAACCTTACCCCCCCGCCCCGCCATGGTGCTGAGCATTGAATTAAAACTCTGACAGCCTAGGCAAGGAATCTTCTGCCACTTAGCTGCACCCCTAGGCTCAGGAGGCACAACTTTCTTTGTTCTATATTTGCAATGCTGAGGATTGAACCCAGGGCTTTTGCAATGAGCTACATCCCGAGCCCAGCCCATTTTTTATTTTGAGTTGGTCTAGCTAAATCACTGAGTTGCCCAGTTGGGGCTTCAACTTGGGATCCTCCTGCCTCAGCCTCCCAGAGTGCTGGGATTATAGGCGCATACCACCAATACTAGCTTATTTATTTATTTAGGTACCGGGGATTGAACTCGGGTCTTTGTGCTTTCAAGGCAGGCCACCAAATCGCTGAGCTAAATCCCTGGCCCCCTGGCTTAATTTTTATATTTGAAGTTAACCCAGAAGTTGATTATTATATTCTTGTCTTGTTTTTAAAATCTGTGGCAGTTTCTGAAGATTAGAATCTATCACAGCCACAAAAGCTAGTCATGTTCTCAAGTGGTAGGTGTGTGCCCTGATGTGTGCCATGCTTACCGAACATCTGATTGGCAGTTTTGCCCTTCCATGTTTTTAATTAGTGCTGTGTCATTTGAAATGTAGTTTGTGTTTAATGATCTGGAATGGGATTAAATGAATCAGGTATGGACCGTAGCACAGGTGACTTATTCGTAGACACTGCTGGTAGTCATTTGTCTTTGTGAGTTGTTTTTTAAAGGGTTTATTACAGAAACATCAGTCACTTGTTCCTATAAATGTTTTATAATGCAAATGGAATGTGATGAAATATTAAAAATACCATTCATTAAATATTGAAAAGTTCAGTCCCTGGAACTGGCCAGATCTTTTCAATCTACTGCCAATTTAAATGGCCAATCCAGAAATTTTGAATTATAAAATTAGAATGGGGGGACTGGAAATACAGCCGGAGAGTCACCCCCAACCCTTACTCATTTTCTGGAAAGGCTTGCATCCTTTCCTGTAAGGTGGAAGATCACACATTTTGTTACTAGTCATTTACCACAGGTTTCCTGCAGTTTGCACTGCTTTATACTTTTTCATTTGTGTTGGGTTAAATCAATAAACTCATTTAGTTTAAGTCAGGAGTTTTATGGACTCAAATGTTAGAATGTTTCATTAGGCTTATATTTTTATTAATAAAACCTTTTAAAGTATGAAAACTGGAATTAAATATCTTTCCTAGTGGCAAATCAAGGTAAAGCTTGCTTTAAATGAGAGAGGGTGTGGGGTGTGCAGAGCGTGTGTGTTCTATAAAACAGCCTGTTTGTCTCACATTGATCGCTCCAGGCGAGTCCCAGCCATACCACAGCATGGTTTCCTGGAAAAGATATCTGGGTGTCAGGTGTGGTGGTGCACACCTGTAATCCCAGGTCTCTGGGAGGCTGAGGCAGGAAGATTTTAAGTTCAAGACTAACCTGGCAATTTAATGACTCAGCAAGGCCCTGTCTCAAAATACAAAACAGGTCTGGGGTTGTTGCTCAGTGCAGAGGCATCAGTTCCCAGGGGCCTGCAAACAGGGGAGGGCATGGGGGAGGGGGCAGCGGCAGGACGACCATGGCTGGACCCAACGTATAGGAACTACGCTTGTGCGGCCCAAAGAACAGTGCTGACCTTGTGCGCAGGAGAGGAAAAGACCCGAGTTCAGGGTGGGTGGGTGGCTTGAGAAGGAGGTCAAGTCCAGAGGTCAGCTGCTGTGTTGGGGGCTGGGAGGCTCAAGACAGGGAGGTGAAGCTGACCAGAGCCACCTCTACCTTCTAGGGGCGTTCCTAAATGCTCTTGTTTTGTGCCGGGTTGGGGAGGGCTTTGAAGTAAAATTTTCATTTAGTTTCACGCCTTGTTTGTAATTTGTAAGTATTGCTTTTACTGCATCTGTTTGCATTTTTCTTTGTAATGCTAATTTTAAATAATGCGGTAGCAAGTAATGGTAATGAAATAAAGACATTTTTTTCTTGGTGAATTTTCTGTAATAGGCTAAAAACAGGTAGTTTGAGTTATAGCCATCAGTTTTGTTTTTTTCACTTGATTTTCGGCAATTTCTTTCTTCTGATTGCTTCATGGATTCAGATATTCTACAGTA